GGTTACGCGGGTGTTGCTACACCGAACGATTGCATGCGACTGGATTGTTTCCGGAGTCCTATCGTCGAGTACGGGGTGATATCATCTGTGTGCGACGTATTCTTCGCGGTGACATGGGTCCAGAGTTGATGGAGTATTTCCCTCTGCGCGAGCAGACCAGGACTCGTGGACATGGACTTACGCTGTTGAAGCTTTCGTCCGTAGGATTACCTCTTCGGTTCCGGCTATCGCGAAGGGTAACCAACCTTTGGAACTCCCTTCCAGCTGACGTGGTGGAAGAGGTCAATGATAAGATGTTCAAGAGGAAGCTCGACAGCGTCCTGCGAACAATGTGGTATGCAGATCTATCATGAATGAGATCTTCGAGTCTGTGGTGATGAGGCTCATACGGGAAATTACCCTCTGCCTCTAATTGAAGAACATTGAACATTGAACATTGAACATTGATTTTCAATCACATTGTGATCTGGGCTATTAAAGGGTAGTTGCATGAATGCCAAATAAATTTAATGCCCACATATTCAAACGTTAATGAACGCCACAGATCAAAAAATTGGCCTCACTTTGTCATTAGTCCTTGGTTTACCTTCAACCGTGAGAAGAACTGTGCCGAGAGAGAAAAAAGAGACAAACATCTATTTGCGATCGATATTATTCTAGTAGTTCACTACCTTACGGTGCTCGTAAAAGGCTGTTTTGGTATTTCACTGTACTGACAGAACTGAGCTGGGTTCTCTGTTCTGTATATCTCTCATTCCTCCTCATCCTGATTTCACCTATGAAAGGGTGATTCTCCATCCTATAGGTCTTCGATTTCACGACTGTTTTTCGAACAAGTCATATCTCTTACTGTACTTTCTTCAGCACAATTTAGTCTACAAATAATCCGGTTTGTTTACCTCTCTCTGCTTGCTTTTGAGATCAAACGGTTGGAGGAGGGTTTTCTTGCAGTTCCAGTAAACCATTCGCAAAAGGTGGGAGAAAAATTATGAGAGCGGATTCGTCCACCGGAATTCGCTTTCCAGCCAGCCATGTGAGACAAAACATGTGCAGACCATAGTCCCGTCAACACGGAGGCATTTAAAACAAACAGATCACTTCCTGTACGAACACATACACACACAAACCGGATTCACTGCACGGATGAAGAAATCTTTGTACTCCATTGAACAATTGAAAACGCTTAATCGTACCGTGTAGTAGGTGATCTTGGGTTTACATTCCGTTCATATTGACAGCCCTTACATGTGGGAGTGATAAATCCACGAGGTTTTCGTTCGATTTTGAGAAACAAGGAAGCAGCACATTTGTGGCCAGCCATTATAATTTCGGTCCAGGATCTCCATGTACATGTAGCATTACTGTTGTGGCCTACGAATGACTGATACGTTTGTAATACATGCTTGTGGTCAGATTGATTGATTGATCGATTGATTAGCTGACTGCTTGATGGCATTCGGATGTAATGTGACGTTTGAACCTGTGTTGGACTTCCTGTCTACCTACCTTGGCGTTGCCCCTTTCTGCTTGCTCCCCAGTCTATAAACCGGTTACGTATTTACATGTTGCTTAATTCATTGTATGCTTATATCCCTGCTTAAACTGGGACACAACAATTACTACTGAGCATTTTTAAAATTTCAAACAGCAGTCCGTTTGATTTATCACACTTTCCACAACAACAGGTGGATGAATATCCTGTCGAGCGAATGCTGCTTGTTTTTGATAAAATAGCTGCGAACACAGACTTATATCATGGGGCATTTGGGATTTAATCAGCACAAATATTACGAATTTTTCGATTGTAATTAACCAACAAATTGATTACCCATTGATGTTATTGTAAATGAGCCTGTGCAGTTTCCCGCTGTGCAAATAGCAATGTTTGCTATCTCTGTAATCTGCAAACGACGTTTATGTCAGATACAAAAACGCATTGACAACTTGTTACTCATGTGAAATCCAACTTTTGCGTTTTTTCGTACTCCGTGAATGAATGCTACAGCACAACCACGGCCAATCGAATCCGAAAATCGAGTCTGGATGCGGGAAGGAAAACAAAAGTGAGTAACCAATGTGACATTGAAATTGTTCGCATATGTTGGATGGAGTTGATTCCACCGTTTTTAGTCTTTCTTTCAATGGCTAAGATCAGACACTGAAAGCCAAACTGCACCATCTCCATCCCAATTATTGGAAGACAGCTTCACCGTTGCTCAGTTTAATGTCACGCTTGTTATGTTGAAACCTTAAATTGTTACTCAAAAAGAAGAGAATAGTATTTTGTCGTAAACCAACCACACACACAAACCGGACTGTGCTCACCATTCCAAAATTTCAACAGAAAACATCACGTGATCTCAGTGTTAAGTGCGGGACTTGGTTGATCTTTGTTCACATTCATGAACCGGTATTCAGATATTTCTTGTCCAGTGCTTCCTAGCTTTTCAGTTCACGCTTCATTTGCTCTATACACGACGAATTCACGTTTGTAATTTATTAAGAAGCAAACATTCAGTATCCGAAGCCTCGCGGTACTGACCGATTGTGTTGGAGCAAAAATTTGTTCGTCTAGTTTTCGCTGGGCGGAAAATAGGACCTTTCGGTCTTAGAATTTCGAAAGCCTTGAAAAGCTCAACATCTATGGGTTTTAAGTGGTTAAAGCCGGTTCATACCGCAATCTCTCGGACAGCCACAAATACGGACCTATAAAAAGAGATATTTCTATGTCTACCAATCAATCACCGTGTACCACTATCATTCTTACAACGGGACTCTGCTATTTCTCATTCATGAATACACTAAAGTGGCCAGAGAAAAACGGCGGTTTGAATGTGCAAAGACTAATAAATTTCTTCGGATGACCTTCCGCCATCTGAGGACACGCTGCGAATGGGTGATGCATAAGTGTCACTAGCGTGAATCACAAACGTAATATCTACAAGTGACAAATGGAACGAGCATCCAGAACCTAAATGGTCTGAGGTGCATAAACCAAATAGGTGTACGGACATTGCAAGGTGGCTAACGCTCTGTCACAACGCGAGCAGGTATTCGATATGATGGGAGTTGTGGGCTGGTATCAATCGACGGACTTGTGACCGGATCCAAATTGGTTAGATATAGTGAATAGATGATTACGGTCGCTGACAGAACAAATCGCAACCTTTATCTTCTAAGATGACCTGGTTATTACTTCGTATAACATTAAACCATTTGTTTCACACCAGTGGCGACATTTGAAGCGCTTCTTTCGATGAAAGTCGGTCCACGCAAGGACCTTTGACTGGGTGGCTGGCAATCAAGTGTTCAACTCTCGTCTCAGTGTACGCTCTCAACTGGTAAAGTCAGTTTCTTGTTCTAAGAACGATGAGGCTGTAAAGCGTTTCCTCCGGCAGTCAAATAAATTCTCCTTACGTGTTGCGGAAGGTCAGCCATTGTCAAGGAGACTGTGACGCATGAAAGTGCATGAAAGTCAGTCACATATAACAGCGGAATAATACTGCTGGCGTTCATGAAGTAGAGAATGCATGAGTGATTCTTATACAGATAGTCCTGCGACTGTATGATTCAGAGAAGTCAAAATGGCAGCAAAGCGACCGTAAAGAGTGGGAACTATTTCAGGATTCAATTGCATGTCAAATATAGCAGTTCGACGTCAACACTGTTTTCCAACTTACCACAGAGGTGACTTTAGGGTAATGAAAACAACCACGAGAACATTTCGAAATTGCCAAGACAGCCATAGTGTCGTCCTTCAGTAGTACGTAATCCGTGATTTCCATTACTCCGGGGTATCATCCACTATTCTAACGCATATCTGTCTGTCTGTACATAACGGATAGATTCGAACAAACCAGATACATAAATTGCTAGCATTACAACATTTGACAACATATTCAGCACGATACTCTGCTCTGACCTGCGACTCTCGGTCACAATGAAATTGCAAGATTTTGAAATGTGCACAAAGAATAGAGATCAGATTGGCCGGGGATAGCGATGTCATTCCTCTGTTCTCGGGGTGTACACAACTTGGAATTCCCACCATCCGGCCTTGTCTGTCCGTTCATAGTGGTTTCAGAATTAGAATGGATAAATTATTTGCACATCCAACATTCCAGCATCTGTCAATCAAAACAAAACACACTGAAACTATTTCATATATCTTATCCGCGAGATTTCGCACAGCATTCCTCATCTTTCGTTCCCAATGCAGACGATTCATTCGTCACAAACACCCTATGCGATTTGGAAAAGCAACAGCTTGTAAATGTTTTCAATGATTAATAGAACTCTGATTTTTTTTCCCTTCACCCTATAATCGATCTACCGGCACAAATTAGGAATCATTTCAACGAAATGTGCGGTTTTGTCATCCTAATTTGCATCGGCCAAAACGCAGCATCAGATGAGTGTCTTATCAGATGATTGAACAAATGACTTTCAAAACGTGTTCTACGGGTTCCGCGACACAATGGTACATCGAATTTCGTGCTATCCTTTGATTTATGTATACCTCCTCTCAGTTTCTACCATCAGATCGATAGGATTTCAGCTCAAATGTAACTATATAACTGGTCAATAGAGTTCAGGAATCACAAAATATTCCCATTGTTCTGGCAGAGAAGTCTGAAAGTGTCAAAGACAGATCTGTTTTTGTTTTCGGTACTTCTCATCAGGCCAATACAGTACACACAATCGAACATGTATAGACACAAAACATACCGTGATAATCCGTAGTGGAAGTACTCATACGGTTATTGTGATGGATGATGTTGAAGACTGTGTCCGAATTGACCAGTCATAGACGAGTCCAATTGACGTGTCTGTTTCTTACTGGCCTCAGGCTAGGGCAGCAGTAGGGTCTTGACAAATTGCTTTTGCGAACATAGTATTAGTTGGCTTAATCGCCTAATCGCGGTCGCTTCGGCTGTGCACAGCATTCTTTGTCTCATCCCTTTTGATCGGTAGATGACCTTGAATGCCCCCTTACGTGTCAGTTCGTGATCCACGGGTCGAGTGCGTGGGCTAGGATGGTACTAGTCGCAATTTTATTCATCCCTTTTGATAGTCAAGTTGGACATTGTTCTTGAATCCTCTCTGACAATCGCCCAGTGGTCCTTCTTACGTATTCCGCTCCGCAGGAGCACGAATAAGAGTACACACAAAATGAGTTAGACTTACTAGACAACTTGTCTTTGAGTTTTAACTGCAGCATAGGCTTCGTGGTAAAGGAGAGACAGAGTTTAGCAGCAAAGTAAGTTCTTTCAATGGCGTGGGATAATCGACAAGTTAGCGTTTCGGTTAGCATATCCTTCTTCAAATCAATTGTTGCTTAAATCCTTTTCTTAGGGAATGTAGAATAACAGTGCTGATAATCAGTCCCAGTGTGCCTTTTGATGACGCTTTCTGGATAGCCGTTTTCCTTAAACGTGTTGCCTATCAGATGCTTGTTCGCGGAGCAAATTTGTCCGTAAGACCGTAAGAAGTTCTTTACAGACATGGACTGATATGCCTATACTGACATCGTGATTGGAGAGGAGGTGACAAATATAATCTGTCGTTTCTGTGAGAGGGACATTTGTGAACAGAGAGATCATGTCTGACGACAACATCTTTTGATTTTCCACATTCATACCTTGAACTGCGTCAAAATCCTAGCCCACGCACTCGACCCGTGGATCACGAACTGACACGTAAGGGGGCATTCAAGGTCATCTACCGATCAAAAGGGATGAGACAAAGAATGCTGTGCACAGCCGAAGCGACCGCGATTAGGCGATTAAGCCAACTAATACTATGTTCGCAAAAGCAATTTGTCAAAACCCTACTGCTGCCTTGGCCTGAGGCCAGTAAGATCGTGAAACAGACACATCAGTTTGACTCATCCTTCACTGTTCCATCCAGACAACAACATTATCCATCACAATAACTGCACGAGTACTTACTCTACGGATTATCACGCTATGCATGTTCGATTGTGCGTACTGTATTGGCCTGATGAGAAGAACCGAAAAAACAGATCTGTCTTTGCCACTTTCAGAATTCTCTGAGAGTTGAAGGACATCGACTAAAACGCGTTTAGTGAGTTAATTTTGAATGGACAATCAGCATTAGTTTGCATTCGAAACCAAACAGATGCACGTAGGCGCGCGGACAAACAGAGAACTAGTGGCCACTCCGATTCATTCCGTTTTACTAACTGCATCTTCATTCGGATACCGCGCATAATAACGCACTGATTCTATGCACTCAACAGGTCAAATCCAAAGATCCGACTCCAAAACAGAACACGATCGTGCGACGATCGAATCGCCGAAGCCCTGAATCCGGTGCACCCAAAGTTAGTCAATCGGGAGCAAAACGAACCAATCGCGGAAGCATGTGACACGTGAAACGTCGCCCAAAAGCACATCAAACAGACGCGGACAGTACGTCTGATCAATGACAGTTTGGTCGAACACAGTCCAGCGAGTTCTTGTGCTAATGCCGCATTTCTCGTGCAGGTATAATATAGGCCGCGTGGTAGATCCCTACTGCTTTGTAAAGAAAGTCTCCATTGTGATGTACTGATTTACCTATCTATTTCATTCCTTTATTTTTACGCTCAAACTGTGAATCGATAAATTTTGTGAATGGACAATTTATTTGGTTTTTAACATTTTGAATACTTTTCAGATGTCATACCGATTTGTTTTTAGTTTGGTGCCATTTATCACAGCGGGTCAAACAGCAATTGGCTGAATTTAATGATCTCGGCTGTCCGAATATGTCATTATCATACGTCGTACGGAAACACAACAGTGACAGTCATTTTTCAGCAATCCATCTACTGGGTAATGTGTCACAATCTGAATCTTATTGTTTGGCTGCGGGTCATGATTTTATTACAGAATGAAACAGAAAAATCACAAATTTTAGTTCCACGATCAGATTTTGCTCATCACACTTGTTTCCTGGTTCAATTCATGATGAAGGATGACCGTACCGTGGGTAACGATGATGTCAATGAAAGACAGAGTGCTCTTATTTTGTTTTTTTGACAGGGGTGAGGGATATTGTGTAGACGGATTCCAATCTTTTTCGGTTGGTGCCCTTGGTGAAGCGACGGTCAGAGTCGCAATCTGGAGCAAATGACCGGGTAAAGTGCCACTTTGTACTGCATTCCCGAGATTCTTCTACAAAACCAACTTATCCTCAGACAGGAAAAATTAGCCTAAACTATTCAGAACCGGTGACTATATTTACTTGACCCGTGCGAATGGGACTCCATCTGCGGCATGTGCTGGAATATTAATTAAGGCACTATTCTGATGACTAGACTTTGCTCCAACTAGTCTCTAGGAACAAGAAGCATTCACTTACGACGTGAGAAGAGACAAACAAAATTTTGTGGTTCAGATTCGCTCTAAACATTGCTTATGTTGCTGTCAGGTAAATGTTACTTTTTCTCTAAAACTGTCCGTTTTTCGTATCTTTCTTGTGGTTCCATTTGGATCTCGTCATTTACCCCCATTTCCTGACAATGGTTAGTCAATCCTACGAATTTCGTTACTGCTTACATCAGAGTGTACGCTCTTTGTGCAGAAGGACCGGACCAGCATATGAACAGATAAATGGAAACTGTAAATCCGAATAGCTCTATACACATTCTGTTGCTTTTCGTCTGCGTATCAACTATCGTAGCTGACAGAAAGCTTCCAGTGTTGGTGGGACCATATATAGATAATCTTGGTGGCCACTGAGGTATGTGCAGAGTAGTGTTCGCATCTAGCTCGTAGCTGTGCATAGTCTCTCGCCTAGTAATGTCGTGCACGCTGCCCGTGGGTGTCTCGTTTCTGTTTTCGTCCGTCACTCCTGCAAGTCTATCGAGACGAGTGTGCACCTTGACTTGGTGTAATGGCTTGCGTGCCTCCATGACCCTGCGAGCTACACAGGATGGCTTTTCATAGACGTAGATCCAATCATTCCTGAAAGATCAACGGGTAGAGGCCAGACGAAGCACAGTTTCACAAGGCCAGCTGCTTGGGCACCTCCTGGCCTCATTCATCTATCCACACCCGCCCCTGAAGTGGCCACTCCAGCAAATAAACACAGTAAGGAGCAGTTTACCGGACAAGACAACCCGCTAGATGGACGTAGGAGCGGAATACCTGGGGCTTCCACTCGACGGTGGGAGAAGCCTTCGCACTTCACTAGACAGCTACCGCCCACCCTATCTGGGCAGACCCCAGCCAATAAGGTGCTGTCCCGTCCACGTTCGGCTTGTCTCATTGGGTGCACGAGGCTAAGAGCCGATCCCGAAAAGCGGACCGATAATCAACGCACCAGCAAACAACACAATTAATCGAAATTCAAAGGCCTTGTGAGACAGGTCTCTAGAAGCTCCCATACGGGTGCTGTTTTCACGCTCCCGCATTGGATTTACGCCCCAACGCCTTTTGGGACAGATTTTTGATTCGAAGGACCCGGTTAGGGTTCCCAAAGAAAAATCCCTTCGTCGGTGTGGGCAACGGCCAAGTATGCAGTGCTCTATAGTCTAAGGCACTCGTTTGTTAAAACCTCTTTCCGATTCATCGAGTTCTTCCTCTCAATCCCGAATAATCTCAGACGCCTCGTGTTTACACCACCCATCGAATATCACTCAGCGTTTTACCAGCAAGGTCACAGGATTTTTGAACTCCAATTTTCCTTTTCAATTAGCCGCACACTCCATCAGATTGATCAGCAAGCTGTCTTGGCTAGAACCCCTGAAACTTTCAATTTATATGTATGTTGTGTCTCCGAAACAGGCATACAAGACCCTTCTTCAATCATTCTCCTGCTTTCTCCTAAACTAATCTCGACCTTATGCTTTAGACTTCGTGTGTCAGGCGATTGGACATACGAAGCTCGCAATTTCGGGATCGCGCTAAGTGTTCGTTTCTTGACTAGATTCCAGTCAGTAGCCGACTATGCGCTGTACGTCTTAACGGCTCAGTACGAGTCAACTGCTACAGAACGAAGCATCAGTGCTTATTCATTGTATCAGTGTATGCACCGCCCGATTGCAATGCACCTGAAATGAAGGATGAATTCTGCAAGGACCTCCCCCAACTGCTCCAAACTGCCGGGTCAACGGACATCGTAATAGTCCCTGGAGACTTCAACGCTCAAGTGGGATCCCTGGGCGAATCAGAAAGGCTTCTTGGCCAACCGCATGCAATCCCAGCCAACCCGGACGGACGACGGAGATCGACTACTGTAACCCTGCGCGGGCCACCGATTGTTCCTGTCTAACACGAAATTCTCGCAGAAAAAACGACATCGCTTTACATGGAAGGCACCAAAACTGCATTGGACCCAGATCGACCACTACGCCATCAGTAATCGCTGGAAGGGGTCGATTCAAGACTGTCGTTCTTACTGGAACACCTGTGGAAACAGATCACGCTTTGCTACGAGCCAAATTCTCCTTACGCCTAGTAAACAAACGCAAGAAAGCCACCGCCACGATACAGCGTCAGCGATTGCTGCAAATCGGCCTTCGAAGTGGAACTCTCCGATCGCCTATCAGGTCAATCACCGGTTGAACAGCCGGTGAACACTGGACGCAAATCAAGGAAACCGTGCAAATATCGACAAAAACAATGTCGGACCCTGCCGCAAGCTCAAAACACAAATGATGGATCTCGTCGACTTCGGCTGCCCTGTTGGACACCCACAGAACCCTCCCTCCGGATGTCACATATGACAAAGCGCGCAAAACCCTCAAACTCTAGCTCATCAAGATCCTGAGGAATGACCGCGAGAAGTGGTGGATAGGAAAGTGTAGAGAGATGGAGAAGGCTGCGGCTATTGGTAAAAGTCGTAATCTTTTCAGTCTAATTATGAATACGGGCCCTGGGAAAATGAGCATAAGTGAGGTAATTAGGGAATCTGATGGCACACTGGTTCACGATCAGCAACGCCATCATGATCGTTGGATTAAACATTTCGCGGCTCAGTTCAACTGGGACCCATCGACAACTGAACTGTCACCCTCCATCGCGACTGGACAAATACTCCCAGCTGATGCCATTCTTCCATCTGAAATGGAGATTTTCCGGGAAACAAGTTATCTAAAAAGGCATGAAGCCTCCGGTTCAGACCGGCTGTCCCCATCGGTTTTTAGGAATGGACGCTCAGCCTCAATCTCGGAGATAACAAAAATCCTGGGCTCAGCATGCGAGACAGAACAGGTTCGAACTGAATGATGTGAATCGGTCATCATATCAATTTACAAGAAAGGTGACATCCTCCTGTGAAAACCACAGGGGAATTAGTTTGATCAACATCGTCTCTAAACTTCTCGCTGGGGTCCTGCTCCGTCGATTGTAAGCCGCACATGAACGGTGCACGCGTGGAAACGAAGCTGGCCTTAGAATTGGTCAAAGTTGTATCGACCACACCTTCAATCTTCGCGAAACTCTGGAACACCGACATTCCTTTTGTAGACCCATCACCTCTGTCTTCCCTCGATCTGAAAGCGGATTTCGACTCAGTCGACCACTCTAAACTGTGGCGCTGCCTCGCCCTACAGGGTGTGCCCGTGAAGTTTATTTCAATATTACAATCGCTTTATGCTAAAAGCTGAAGTCGAGTCCGAGCTTACCGCTCTTTCTTGGCCGAGTGCGCCACGGAAACTGGTGTTCGTCAGGGTTGCGCGCTCTCTCTCTCCATTTCTATTTAACTTTGTTATAGACTTGATTATGGAAACAGCCCTATCTTTGTGCGAGGATAGTGGCATCGATTTACTCCCAAGTGGCACGCTATTTGACCTAGAGTACGCAGACGATATTGCGCTACTAAGTGAAGATCCAGGTAAGTTGTAAGCATTTCGGGATAACTTGAATGACAGTGTAGCCATATTCGGTATGCGTTTCGCACATTCAAAGAGTAAAATGTTGCTACAATACTGGTTTGGTCCAGTACCCAGCCTCACTCTAACTGGGGAAGTAATAGAACAGGTGGATAAGTTTTGTTATTTCAGCAGCTACTTCTCACCCAGTGGAGGCATCACAGATGAAGTGTCAGCTAGCATACAGAAGGCCCGGTTGGCATTTGCCAACTTGAGACATCTGTGGCGTCGTCGCAACATCCGGCTGTCTGTGATGGGTCGAGTGTATGCCTCGACAGTTCGGCCAGTCCTGCTATACGGTGCAGAAACTTGGTCATTAGGAAAACAGGATAAAGACAGACTTTCGGCATTTGAATACCGCTGTCTACGCAGTATTGCACGAATCCGCTGGGGTAGCCGGACCAGCAATGCTGAGGTTAGGCGTAGAGTTTTGGGTATCCGCGGTCGCCAACTAGAGCAAGTGGTCGACCAGCACCGCAAGCACCTAGGCCAACAACAACAACACGATC